CATCTCCTTCCCTTTAATTAGGGAGCCCTGGATGCTAACCTCTGCTACTAGCCTCTAAGAAAGTGAGACACAATGAAAACTGTGTGATTTTATGGAGTGAGGGAGAATCTTTTCCCATTTAAGAAAACAATGCTGATCCATTATAGTCATACCAGTTCAATAGACTTTTTGGATCATTTTTACAAATAAAAGAATCTATCCTGTCATTGAATTTTCTAAAGCATGTAAAATATTAACATTACATAACTGAATTTTTTTTTTTTAATTTAGTTAGTATTTACATATTTTGAAGGTCACATTCTGATTTAAGTAAAATTGAATTTCATGAAACCAAACATAATAAAACTGATGCAATTTGATTTCCAAGTCAAACTGGGAAAAACATGTTTTGTATGAAGAAAACAAGATCTGATTACTATTTTAGATGTTCAGATGTGAACCTGGAATATTCAGCAAAAGTCTCATTTGGAAAAACTGAATCTTTAAAATTCAAGTTAGTCTTTAAAATAATAATGGAATACATCAAGGAAAGGTATCCTCTATTTTGGGAACAAAGTTGCCATAGAAGAACTTAGATGTTAATAAATAATATACTATCTGAAAGGGATACTGATTTGGAAATAAAATTACTTTTTTAAAGTAAACTGCTACCAATATTTTAACAATTTAACTTTGAGGCCTGCTATTCCTTGCTATGTCAATGAACCGAAGGGCAGAATCTCGTTCGGGGAAAATGACCTACCCGATCTCGTTTTTACGAGTTATACGGGCATTTTTTGGCCGAGCCTCCGGGCTCGGAAGTCCCACGATAAACTCGGCCTTGTGCCACATGCAACCCTCGTGGGGGGGGTGGCTAGATACCGAACCACATCATTGTGATAAGTGACAAACAGTTGTACAGAAGGCAGAATTTATAATCAGAATAAGCCAAACATTTGAGGCTCATGCCTTTCCTAACATAGATGTGTTAAAAAAAAACAAAAAACAAAAAAAGACTGCTCACATGTTCAACCCGAGACTGAAATGTTTCTTTGTCATATTAAACATGTGACCTTTATACCCAATTTTCTAAGTAAAATTTATATTTCTGTATATAGGAATTAATCAGTTCAATCTTTAATTCCTGCTTAGTGAGGATTGTTAACTATGTTGGAGTTTTGGGGTACCCTGGGGTACTAGTGAGCCAGCCAAAATGAGCTAGTTCACCAATAGAAGGGTTAACTAATCAGAAGGCTCAAAATATTTACTGCGACATGTATAAAGGCAGCCATGTTTTTCCTGAATATTCACTGCCAGCTTTTGATAACCCGGACAAGGCTCCGCCAAAGGGCAGAGTCTCATTCGGGGAGGTTGACTGCCCCTGAACCCATTTATACGCGTTGGAATAGAGATTATTTTTGGCCGAGATCCCACGTTAATCCCGGCCTTGTGCTACATGTAAACCTCATGGAGGGGTGGCTAAATATCACTGCCAGCCTTTGATATCAAAGACTGAAGAATTATGGAACAGCTGCTGGTGGTATTGGCGATATAGTCAGATTCAGTAGAGTGTCTGACTCATGAATGTTAATCTTTAACGTTGTTTCATTGAACAGATTCCGTACTGCGCTGTATTCTTTATTCATAAACTATGGTGAACATGGTCAACAAACTATAACAGAAAATCTTTTAAAACACAATTTCATTACACCCTACAGTAAGATACAAATATCATGATTAAGTGTATTAAACAAAATTGTTTTGAAATACCAATAAAGGGAATACTTCAGCAAAGTATATGAGTAACAGGCAATAAAAAAAGAAAAAAAATGATTATTCCTAAAATACCCAAATAGGGTAATGATATAATGCTGGAGTAAATAGTCTTTACCCATAAAAATAATAAAATGGTTGGATGAACCAAAGTTTTCATAGTCACAAAAAAAAAAAAAAAATTGTCAAGAAAGATTAAAAGACAATGTGATAAATTCATGTCATTTCTTAATTAAATGCAATAATTTTAAATGCATTAAATAAAATAAAATTTTATTTAGGCAATCCCTTTATTAAACCAAAAGCATTGTGATACTTCAATATTTTCTCTGAAGAGAACTTCTACCAACATGAATTAGATTAGAAAGTATGAGATATATGCATTTATAGAGTGTAAAAAAAAAAAAATATATATATATATATATATATATATATATATATTAAGCTTTTCACCCCAGGAAAGGTGAGAGTGCCCCTAGCATGCAAGGTGTTACAGAGAGTGGGAGCAAGAGTAAAAGTAAAAGGTGTGAAAGGGCAAAGGATTAAGAGGACAGGGAATTAGATCAAGGCATCTGGAGATGTCGATTGACATTGCATTTGAATAGTTGGAGATTATAGCTATCAGGAAAGCAACTAAGAGGAAGGGAGTTCTACAGATGGGAAGTGCGAGACATGAAGCTATTGGAGTAGAAGAGACGGCTACATTTAACCGTTTCGACAGTGAAAGGGTGGAACTGAGATGCCAACCTAGTAGCACGTTTAAATTCATGTAGTTTGGGAACTAGCGAAAGTAGCTTGTCACAGCAGTTAGTATGAAAGTATTTGTAGAAAAGACAGAGGGAAGTGACAGCAGATCTGCAAGAGAGTGACTGTAAACGAGATACCAGATAAGGGCTAATCATATTGCATATCCATCTCTGGATTTTGTCGAAAACCTTATGACGAACAGTGGGGGATCCAGACCATAGATGGCAGCAGTATTCTATGCAAGGGCAAATGGTGTGTGTATGCATATGTGTGTGTGTGTGTGTGTGTATATATATAATATGAAGAAATATAGTTTTAGAGTGAGCTATATTTATGGGATAAAGTGCTCAATATCAGAGATAGGGCATATGTAAATATAAATATAAAAGTGAACATTGAAGTCAACACTCAGGGTTGACAGGCTGTTTCATGCTGGATGCAATCCTCAACCCGCTAATGTGTGAATTACCCACAATGCACCACTGACCCATATATATAAATAGTCAAGGAAAAATTCAGCATTCGCGGCCTGACAATTGTGTCCAGCATGAAACAGCCTGTCACCCCTGAGTGTTGACTTCAATGTTAACTTATATATATAGGAAAGAATCGAATTTACTAAGCTGGATAATTCAATGACAAAATAGAAAAAAATCTTTAGCAAGACATTTTATTCTTTAAAAGGATTTCAGTTTAAATGTTTTTACTGATGAAATCATAAACATTGTAATTGGGAATAGAATTATAAACAAATATTGATTATAATTTAACATCAACTTAACTTTAAATTATAAATTCCTGATGTCTGATATGTCTAGAGGCACCACCTAGCAGACTTTATTTAACTTCTTACTGCAGTTGGTTTTATTTATTGCAGTTTTTAATCTCTGCCATTGTAATAGGCAGGTCAAAGGTTGTCTGAACTTTGGACATAGATTTACTGTGGAAAACTCAGGAATTAATGCATTTTCACCTTTATTAATCACATTCCTATTTAATTAAAACAGCATTAAGTCAAAATTCTTGGCAGACTCATTATGATGAATGATGAATGATTAATGCATTGAGATCTTTTATGAAACACACTCAATGCATTGATCATTCATTGTAAGGCGGCTGACAATAATTTCAACTTAAAGAATGCAGATTTAATTAGAAGGTAATGTAATTTAGGAAGGTGAAAACGTATAGAATGTGCACTAATTTTTTAATCTTCCATGGTTAATTTACTGCATGGTTCATGCAGCATTTCATGTTTCTTAACAAAAATACTGCTATAACAAGGTGAGATATTTAAAAATGACGATTTTAAGAAGCTAAATGATGTCTGCAATGCTTAGCACATCCAGACACCAGATATTTAAAATCTAAAGTTAAGCATCTCTGCATCTTCAGAGTTTCTCAGTGTTTAATTAGAACTACAACATTTGTTTATCTTACATCCAATTCCATCAATAAAAACATTTAGCCTGAAGAAGTCCTTTTGAAGGATGAAGCATGTTATGTAGGGTATATAAGATATATATGTGTAAAAATTTCAGATCAAGTATATTTGTAAAAGGACAATATGAATAAAGACAAAAGGAAAACTTAGCTGATGTATTTCATCCTTTGCCTTGATAAAGTCCCTCAGGGGATGAAATGTGTAAGCTATGTTTGCCTTTTGTCTTTGTGTGCGTGTGTGTCTACAATTTAATTTCACTGACAAGATAGAGAATGCAGGTATTGATCCCAGGACTTTTAAATTGCTAAGGAACCTTTTTGTTGACTAAAGATTCTTCTGCAATCCTTTATACAAGAAATCAATTCGAAAAGTAAAACAATGTATGAAAAAAAAAAAAAATGTGGAATTTATGCAATAACTTTCAAGATAAATTTATTAATTTCTGTTCCTGAAATCGAAAAGGAACTTTTAATGTTATGAGAGAATCGACATGCAAAATTGTTCCCTACATCATGTCCCCACCACCAATCAAAAATAAAATAATAATTGAAATACTGTAAGTAAATATTGTAAGTGATCAATATTTGTTCAGCAAACAAGGGAGATAATCATTTTCTTACAATTTCAACATTTATCACACAATATTAACAAAACATTTTTCTTGTTCATTAATCAAATATTGATTAATTACAATTCTTCTTTTTGAAAATTATTTTCATCCTTTGTGAATTAAAATTATGTACAAAATATTACACTAAATTATTACAGATTTTACAAATATACAAAGGTAGGGATTATGTTCAGCTTAAGCCTTTACCGAAGGATGTATAATAGCTACAGAAACCAAAAATAACTCTACACTTAACAACTCTCACAAAAAAATACCAATAAGTGAAATATTATCGAGAAAAAAAAAAAGACCCATCTGTATTTGTTTTTTTGTCTTTTTAATCACTTTGTCTTAAAAAAAGAAAAAAAAAGAAAAAGATTTTGATTTGCATGTGATCGTTTTGTCTGATGTTCCATGAGATTTGCGTCTCAGAGAGACAAGACCCTGCTAAGATTTATGCAACTTTTCACAGTGGTATTGTTCAGCTCTTTTTCTCAGCAATTTCATTTCTTCTTGGATTTTGTCTGTGATGTGTTTGCGAATTTCCCTCTGAAAATTAGAGAGGAAGGAAAAGAAAAGACAAATAAAAAATCCGATCATAAAATATTCAATAATGGCTTATTTTTCTTAAATATGCAAAGAAAACACCCTACCACCAATACACAGAAATTTATTTTCCTCAACAAACATAACCTGACAACTGCCTAAAGTTATACTTTATGAACAAGTCATCTTTTCCTAGTCTGTTGCATTCACAAACACATTTCCTATTAGTTCCTCTGTCTTTAATGAGAAACCATTCCTTAAAATGTCAGTGATATTTTGCTAAAATTTAAAATTCTAAGCCTGTTTAATGGATGCTTGATTTCCATTCAAAGAGATATGATCAAAATATCAAAGGATCTAATTTGTAGCTTTGTTCTAAAAACTTCATTTCGTTTCTCTACAATAAGACACAATCAAAATATGTTCCAACCCAACAAAAATGTGACAAAGAACAAAATTTGAATAAGACAATTAGAACCTATAAAAATTCCACATGTACAATTTAAAAAAAGGACACCAAATCATTCAGATAGTCTTCTAATACTAACCATTATTAACAATCTTAAATAAAAACATTTTTGAGAACTTTTAAATATTCCTTTGCATATTTTCTCTATCCAACTTGAATTTTTGTGACTATAAGCAATAAGGTATCAGTGGGCTAAATAAAGGTTATCACAAGTACATTTTGTGATTTGTGTGATAATAAGGTTAATATGTTTTAAGAGCACACAAAAGTTCTAACATAGATTGAAATTGGATACATAGACTGCTAAGAAAAATTTTTGTAAAAAAGTTATTAGAATCAGTGTTTTTGATAAATGCAACAAATGTTACACACACAAATATGAAAAAGTTTGTGTTTTCTTTACGTAGCAAATTTCAGCTGAATTCATGAAAACAGCCATTATTTCATCAAGTGTATAAAGACCATAAAAGGATAAGTAAAGGGGAATATTAAAAGAACACATACGGCACTTTTCCCATCTTGTCTTAAACTGTCAACATCAGATTTAAATTGCAATGGTTCCCCAACCAAAATCGTAACAGTCTACAAAAGAAAAAAAGGAAAGAAATAATGAAAAAGAATTAAAAGTGATCATTAAAACCAAAGACAAAATTTTGCACATATGCACAAGATAAAAATTCTATGAACTTACTTGCCCTATTCTTGGAATATAAGGCTTTTTATTTGGCAAAATGGAATCCATTCCTGAAAATGAAGAAAATCACTTTGGTTAATCCAAATGTTAAGAACAAAATATTACATTTATTCATTAATTCATCAATTATTTACTTAATAAAATTCCTTTTCTTAGAAATAGGCAGAGCAAAATCCAAGAAAAATAATCCATTAGAAAAATAAATGGAATCTCAGAAGACGATGGTATATGGACTCTGGGCAAAATTTAGAGATCATGGGCTGCTCATACATCAAGATGCCCCACTCAGTATTACCAGGAAATGTAAAACAATACAGTTCAGTCCCAGTGCAGCAGCAGGAATTGCTGGAAGGTGATACAGTGTACCACCCGACCACTTTAGGAATTCCACTCTGGGTTTGGAACAGGGTTTAACTCTTTTCTGAAAATACCTACAAATTTGGCATTGAGGCTTTGAATTCAGTTTTCCAACTAGATTAGCTGCCATCAAATGCCCAATCTGGCCTGCTATTTAACTAATACCAAATGGAATATGAATTCATGCTTTTATAAGGTTAAAAACTGTCCCTTTGTGTTAAAAAGAAAAAGAAACAACAAAAAAACAGAAAATGCCTGAATACTTTGTCTTAGTCTCTAAAATTTGAGTATGTCTGATAAATTCAGTTTGTTCATTAAGATTTAAAAGGAAACATCTGAATATTTTGAATTTCAGCTTCAAAGTCACATTTTTGGAGTCAAGTCACTTCAGAAAACTTCTTGTCACAGAACAGTTTTTTTTTGTTTTATTTTATGGGATTTCTATAAATATCAAATGAAAGCAAAAGTGTTTACATCTATATAATAAATGTGCCAATGTCTTACACTTTTTCAAATTTACTCCTAGAGTTTGTAGCCCAAATACCATTTTGGAATCAGGCCGACTCCATGAGTAAATTGAAAACATTCCGAGCCAGATCCAGTACCGCAATCCTGATTTTTTTTTATTCCCGAATTTTCCTTACCGCAATTGTTTTGGCAATGTTTTTTTTTTTTGGCAACAAATTTTTTTGTACAGTAATTTTTATAACTTCGAAATAAATTTTGGAATAACCGAAATTAATTGCAAAAGTCAGCCATGAAATAAAAATGATTGTTTGTATGGAAAGTAAGGACCTATATACATCAAATTGTCTTTAAATTAAGTGACGGCAGAAGAATTATCGTTGAACTTTTAAAAGGTAAGCTTAGATATTAATGCAATACTTAAATGCTGAGATCAATTTTAAGTTCTTCTGTAGTTTATTGTTGACTATCACATCTACTCCTCCCTACCTATTTTGATGAATGCCCAATCAAGATCCCTCTGATAGGGTGTCTTTTAAGCTAGTTTAAAAATATATCTCTGAAGAATTTGTTAGTAACATGTTACTCCATGAAGATGAGAAGCTTAACATCTGATACAAACAGTTCCAGTTTTTTCATTAGACACTATGAGTGGGACATTTTTCTACAGATAAAAAAAACCTGAAAAATTAATCTTGGCCTTTTTCTTTACTACATTAACATTAAATTAAAAAATTCATTTTATTAATTCCACAATTGAAAAGTTCATGATTTTAACATCAGTTATTAATTCAAATCTCAACCTTATTTTCACAACTCATAGTTTTTTGTTTTCTTTTTACTACAACTACTATTACTACTACTGTTTATTTAATATGGAAAAATTAACAAGAATCTTTTACAGGTGAATTGGTTTCAAGGCAACAAAGAATATTTTTCTCAACATAAATTTGAGAATCTTCAAGCACAATCTTCCATTCTAAGTAATTATTTCTTAAAAACAAAAATCAAATAAGTTAACATATGACAGGATTATGTGAGATTTTCATATGCTTTATTAATATGGTTGTCCTTGATATTTTTCCTGGACAACATTTACTTTGATCTGTTATTAATTCTGCTTATATAATGTGGTCTGTGAAAAAGAGTTATTAACCTGTAGAGGCCTAAATATAGCAAAATTTTGTTGATTTCTGTATTTTCTTACTTTTTGGCAGCTTCATGCCGACTATTAGAAGTTCATTCCAAAGATGGTGGCATCATCTTTTTGTGTATGGGATTTTTAAAATCAGAGGTTTGGGTTATGACTCCAGCAGATTTACGTTTCCATATTCTTAAAACATTCAGGCATTGAAGAAAATAAAAATTCGATTAATTCAAGAAAAGTTCAATCAACGTATCACTCACCAATATGCCACATTGGCAAGACTAAGGAATTATTGTTGCAATCAGCTATCAGACGGCCAACACCTGAAAAGGCAAAAACAATTATTCCATTAAAGCAAATATCAGTAAAACTCATTAAATTTATTTTAGTAAAACACTTTTTCCACAGAAGTGATACAAAGATTAAAATCTAAATTGCTTTTTCTTGTATTCATAGAGATCTAGTGAAAAATTATGCTGATTTACAAATTATCAGGTAAATCAAAATGTTTGTTCGGCCTTCAAACTCAAAACTTTGCATGAGAGAATCAACAAATCTTACCAATCTTTTCACTCCCCAAATGGGAAAACTAGTCAAATCTTCTGCTGACATAGTGTTGGTAATAGATTATAGACTTGGTTTAATTTAGTAACAATGTAAAATGACCATAATGCAAAATATTATTCTTGGTACTGGATTAGTGAGGTCCAATACAACACACTAAGCTGTAACATGAATAATTACTTTTTACTAATACAAAATGAAATTTTAATCAATTAATGGAAAGTATTCATTTATTCCCAGCAAAATGAGCCGTTCCAATCATTTTGGCAAATGCTGCAAATATTGAAACTGATTTATGATTAGAATATTCAATTAGTAATTTTTTGTGCAATTATATTCACTAAATAAAGTTTAAACATTTTTTCAAATATATATTTTTTTCCCTTTCAATGTTTTACTTCTTTTTGTATGACACAACATCAACAAAATAAATAGATTTTCATTTTTACTTACCCCATTTTAAACGTAAACATTCTTTTGTTAAATTTACTTTCCCTGGAATAAAAAAGAATATTTAAAGTTTTGTTTTTTTAAAGTCTAATTTCAAAAGAAGAAATCATTTTATTAAGACAAAAGATCTGAATATGCAGAAATAAAATCAGTTTCAGATTAATTCCATTCTGGTTAAAGAAAATTGTCATGTCACCTGTTTACAATAAGTTGTGATAAGAATCAATTTTAGAAAATAGTAAAATGTTTTACTAAAATGCACAATACCCTAAAAATTAAAATAAGATTTGATTGTTAGAAACTTTTTCCTGTTCCTCTAAATAAAATAAATACCTACATGTTTACCAGTAAAATCTTGTAAAGAATGTTTCAACAGATAAAGCTTTTTATGGGTTGACAGTGGTTCTATCTTTACAGAGAATCAATTATAGCTTTGATAAATGTTAGCAGAGGCTGTTTTAGTTCTTAAATACAAGGTTGCTTTGAAAAGTTCACAGCCCAACCAAGAAGGAATTTTTAAAAAAATCTGATGTTTGGTCATTTGATTAGATTTTGGGGCAATAATTGGTTAGGTCGATAACTTTTAAGCACCTCCTTTATAAAAATTTTGTTCAAAGACAGAAATTCTGTTGCCTAATAAATTTACATGTTCAAAATGGAGGAAAATTTTCAGAACATTCGAAATAAATAAACTATAAAACTGTAGAACCTTCTGGAAACATATGCAGCCATTGTCCACGATTAAGCTGTTCAAGGACAAAATCCATGCTTCGCTGGTAGACTCCTTCACCGCGACACACGGGGACCACTCGACCAAGACTGAAGAAAACAGTATGCCAGTATTTGGTGAAACATATATTGTCAGCACCAAGTGTCCAGCGGATGTTTCTTGCACCAATCAGATATTTCCATTTTAAAATTCCTGCAAAACAATGAGAGACAAAATAGGTGGGAGGTGAACATTTGATTGATAAATTTAAAAAAAAAAAAAATAATAATAAAGTCATTAAATCTTGTTTTCTAAAGGTTTCGAATATTATTCTGTATCAATACTTGTGTTCAAATATTGAATTAATGCACAATATCAAGTACAAGTTGAAATCTTAATATAGAAAAAAAAAGGTTTATAAAAAAAGCAAAACTAAAACTTCATAGAAAAAGAGGAAACTCTTGTATAAAAGTGAATGTGATTTGTTTGCTTTGTATGATAAAACATAAAACTAACTGAACCTCACCTTAATTTGAGCCTCCTACCCAAAAGTAAGCAGGCAAGCAACAATATACCACTGCCGAAATATTTAGGTAAAATTAGGTTTGAAATATAACTGATTTTATTTTAGGTTTTTAAACATTTGCAATTATTTCAATAAGTCATTTGTATCAATTTCTTTCTTTTTCCTTCAAATAATATTGATCTGTTAAACTTTTTAAAGCAACAAAAAAATATCTAAGTTTAATATTTTTCTTTAATTTTTATTTCAACAAGATGGCCGTCACTTCAAAATCTATCATTGCTTTAAGTTTTTGCACTACAATTTTTTTTTAATGGTAGAGTAATGGATAGCAGCTCGGATTGAGGAATTAGAGAGCCAAGTTCAAATTCCAGTCAAATCCATTACATTCACTTATGTGCTAATACCCTTAGGAAAAGTATGAATACTCTTCTTCTCCTCCCACCTACGGGTAAATAGCAGGACAGACTGGGTTCTATAGCCTTAGATGGCAAACTGGTCTACTACAGAAGAAATAACAACCTACTGAGGGAAAAAATCTGCCTCTACAGTTATGAATTGAAAGATACATGGTCACCTTAGCGTGTATCATGCATGGCACATAACTTACTGAACTATTACTTCCTTCCTCACAATAAATATTGAAGTGTTTTTAAAACCTATTAGAGAATTGATTTTTTTCTACCATATAAACTTTCTTAAAATATTTATTTTAGCAGGACAGTCATTACTTCCTTTTTTTTTTTTTTTTTTTTTATTTTATTACAGTTAAACAAGACAATTACTTTTCACCTTTACACTGTTAATTAATTTGGTTGTATTTACTTTCAAGACATCTATTTTCACAAGTGCATGACTTTTTTCACATTTCTCTACCATGATGGGAATAACACATCTGTCGGTCTCAAAAGTTGCTTCAAAACCTAAAGTTATGATGAAAAAGCCATTGACCCATCTTAGTTTAAGCCAACTTTTCTTTAATTTTAGCTTGTCCATTCATTCTCAGAAATTTATTGGGATTAGGGTAACATCACTCCCAGTATCTACTTGCATAGGAAAAGTTATACCATTCAATTTAATTTTTCCTCTGGCACTTTTCTCTTTGTCTTTGTATTGAAAATACAGTTTTATTTTCCTGAAAGGAGTTTAAATTTTCTACCTTTTCTATTTTCTTTTTCTATTTGCACACAAACTGGAAAATGTTTTTTCTTTTCATAATTCCAGCATATTTGTCCTAAAGATGGACATTTTTTCTTGTCCCGTTCATGCTTTTTATCATAGTATTTGCATCGCACAATGTAATTTGATATGCTTTGGCATTACTCTTGTATGTATTGAATTTTTCAATTAACTTTAATTGTTGCAGAAACTCTATAGATGCATCCAAGGACATTTTAGTCAGTTGTAACCCTTCTAATATTTTGTGTTTGTACGAAGCATCACAAATAACCTTCAATTAATCTCAACTGTATCAACTCATCTTTGATGGTCATATCTCTAGTGCCAAGTTTTTCAAATTAACAAAATCTGGAAGCCTCTTGTAGCTTGTGTAAATACTGCATTATTGTTCCATTCATCTCATTTTTTCATGAGAAACTTTGTCCTCTCAGCAATAACAGACTTCTTTTTCAGTTGCAAATTTCTCTTTATAATGTCTGAAATTTGTGAAAAGGTCAAATCTTCCAATTCTCTGGGATATGCTATGATAGATATCTTTCTGATAGCCTCACATCCTGCCAATGCTAAAAAGAGATCTGTAATCACATTCCCTTATCTTACAACTTTGTGACCTTTTAATTTCTTGGCCTGTGCAGCAAAACAATGAATCCATGTTTCCACAAAGTCTGGCTATTCGAATGGTGTTACAGATCCTATTGGTGATGGCATATTGTTGTGATATCTTCTACTCTGTGCCGACTGACTTATTAGTAGTTGCTTGATTCTATGCAAAATAGGGCAAGTCCATTTTGTGTATATCACTATCCAAACAATTCAGCCATTTTAAATATTCAGAGAAATGCAAACTATCCTCCCTTTTATTTTTATAATGCACCAGTCCATATTAACTTTATGCAGCACAGAGAATAAAATCACAGAATTGAATTGTGTTAAAAAGAATGCTCACATCTTAAAAAGATGAGAGCATTCTTGAAATGTCCCAAGGCATACATACAGGGTGCAGCAGTAATACTGCCCACATAACAGTAAGATGGATTAGCTAGATGAAGACAGCATTGCCAGTAATGGCTTACTTTTATGTGGGTGATATTTCTGTCACACTCTGTACAACTGGAGGCAATGTATTTTTATTGACAATCTTACAACAAGAATTATATCCCTTGTATTAGTCTCCCTATCTTCTTTGCCCCAAAAGTTAAATAACATTTTTATAAAGGAAAACAAAAAGTAAATGGAGAGATGAGGTTGGGGATAAAATTGGTACTCACCCCAAAGAAGAGGTTCATCAATACAACTGTAATGATTACTGACGGTAACCAGACCTTGGTTGGATGGTCGATCCTCGATTGTTTTGTATAAAATATCTCCATTGATGAGGTTGAACGTGTTCAGCCAATCTGGATTTGACAAAATAAAATAATTAGAAAAAAAAACAAATCTTTTCCTACTTGACAGGCCAGATTTTCCACAAATGTTTTTTGTCATTCAAATGTCAAAAACTTTGTCCTTGATTGAGAAAAGAATTTCCAGAAAAGGAAAGAAAAAGAGAATATACATATTTTATTTAGTGGTACTCCATAGTTTTGGCTTTATGCCACTTGTAAGCTATGCTTAATAAATCACTAAATATTTTCTTCAGTTTTCACTGAAAATGACAAGGATTTTATTCACTGTTTAATTGAATAATCTTTGTTTTTTGGGGTTTTTTTTTATTCTCTTTACAGTGTTCACTCATTAGTGAAGGCAGTTGTTCCCACTGGTTAACCAGCCATTTTCCAGACCAGAAACTTGTCATATTGGATGATAATGCCATTCAAATTTTCAATGCATAATATTTTTGTGTTATGTTGCAGGAACAGTAATGTGAAAGTAAAATATTTCTTAGGCTGAACGAATCACAATTATAGAATTCACAACCAAAGTTCCTTGATTGGAGAAAGTCTTCTTTAGTTTATTTCTTAATTATGAAATCTTTTACAATTTGATTTTTTTTTTTGTACAATCAATATATGGATGTGAGAGAAGGAGTACCACTACTATAAAGAATTCAATAACCATAGTGATAGAAATAGAAATATTAATATACAAAAGTACTGGATGCAGATTTTGGTGCTATTGCTACTGCCATACCACCAACAATAACCCATAAATTTTTCTTTGGCAGGGAGTGTTTATTAGCTGTCAGTCTGGCAGAAATGATGACTAATATGAAATTACATCACTGAATTTCTCCATATTTAAAACAAAATTTACCCCATCATTTTTTTTTCTTTATTTCTAACAAAATTTTTCTGTTTCTTAACATTGTTTACCTTTTGGAATGTATCTTTCACTATCCAAATATATCATTGGATTTTTGTGTCACATTTTATGTCATAATACTTCCCAGATAGTTAAATTTTAGTACTTGCTTGATGACTTTTTACAATTGATGGCTAGTCCTTTCTTCCTGCTTTGCTTGACTAAGGGTTCCCACAGCTATCTTTCTAAATCTGCCATCAACAGTGTCAGCTGCATATCTTATACGATTTAAGACGATTGTATGTAGCAATAATAAATCCAGGTAATCCTTTTAGAGTTTCCTTAGGATTGCCTAGCTTCATCTTAAAATAAATCCACTGAAAAGATACATCCTTGTCTTATGCCCATTTCTATTTTTGTGGACATCCTCAATTCATTTCTCCTTTGTTCTCAGTAAATGTTTCAGATTAATCTAATATCTTTCCCCAAATAAATCAAGTTTTTGTAGCAATTCAAATATTGGGTAGGTAAAAAAGTTCATAGCAATTTTTCAATAGGAAACATTAAAACATGATTTTTTTCACATATGACTGAAACCTATGATATATTCTGAAAGATATTTTAACACCTCTTTCTATGATTTGTGTGTGAATTGGCAATAATGTTTTTATATCAAAAGGGGAAAATGAAATGCATTTTCATCCTTTGATGTCTTTTTTCTTTCTGAAATGGACACCCCTCCTCAAAAAAAAACCTTCCAAAAACGCTGTGCCAAAAGTAAAAAAAAAATTATACAGTGTAACCCGGATATAAGAGTTGTCAGGACCAGAGAAGAAGTCTCTTATATCCGGGTTTCTCTTATACCCGGGTTTGGTCTATTTTATATACATTAACACAGGCTCTAATTTGGGACCAGAGAAAATCTCTCTTATATCAGGGTTTCTCTTATATCCGGGTTACACTGTATATGCCATTTTGTGCAACTGACTCACAAGAGGATACTTTTCTGATCACTTGTTCAAGTGAAGTCTAGGGTTAACCACCTTCTGTAACCCTCTACCTAGAGTGGCTCTTGGGACTTGTACAGAGTGAACTTTATTGTAAAAAAAAAAACAACTAAGTACTGAAACAAGCTTATTCCTTTGTTAATTATTTTTCTTTAAAACAATAATCATATTTTAATGAATTTTTTAAAGGATAGAAAAATAAAGGGAAAACAAAAATAACTGGATATTTAAAAAAAGAACAAAAAAAATCATTTATTTTATGGCTAACAAAAAAACTTTTCTTTTCTTTTTTTTAATAAAAGGAAGATCATTCTGCTTCATTTTATTTAAAACTTGCGCCAACAAAATTTGTTTCAGGTTTTCATTCTAGTTTGTTTTTTTATTCAGTACTTTCTACGTACTCAACATTTTCACTTTCCCGAATGTTGGGATTGAGTGATATTCATTGTCTTTTGTATGAAAAAAATAATTCGGTACATATTTTTTTTTAAACTTTTACAAACCAAATTTATAATTTTTTTTTATTTATTAAAATTTATTTTTAAAATAAAATACATGTTTAAAATATCGTATGAAAGATTTTGAAGAAAATCCTAATGCAAATAAATAAATTATAAGACAACAGCAAAATTTTAAAAAATCATCCAGATTGATTTTTTCTTTTCTTTTTCCGTCTCGTGGTAGAAAAAGTAGAGAATCGAATGATTATTTGCCAATTTGTTAACAACTTTTTTCTTTTTTTTTAATGTAAAAGTTAAAAAGAAATGACGAAAACTAGTAAGTTACTTAAGATGTGAAATGTTATCAAACAAAAACAAAGAGGTGGGGGGGCACAAAAAACAGGCAAAACAATCAAAGGTGAAAGAACTGAAGGTTGAGCAGGAAAAGGCGAAAACGTGTTTTTGCTGTACCTGACCATAATTTGCTGGAAGCTCCGACAAGAGACAATATTATTTTGGTGGAAATGTTCCATATTTTGGAAGGTTTGTTAGCTGGAGGGAAGATCCATATATGATCGATTGGCATTTTTGTATTTATTATTTATAAGAATGAATATATCGTTTTACCTTCCTGATTTCTCAACACGAAAAAAAAAAAAAAAAGTGGAACACTCTTTAGTGTCAGGAAATTAAAATGTTGATAACGGTGATAGTAATTTTATTGTCCTGCTCTAAAAATGTACCGACTTCATAAGCGCAACACGCAGATACAGCAATTTAAATATGTAGGAAGCGTTTAAAGTGCAATATAAGTCCTCCTTTTGGGCAGTGAATGGTGTTAAATCTCCTCACAGATGAAGAGACATGAAGCAACAGAAATGTAAGTTCTACAGAAGGATGCTGAGAATACCATCTACTGAACATGTGAGTAACGATGAAGTTTTAAGGAAAATGGAAACAAAAGGGACGCTTATACTTAGAATCAGAAAGAGACAGTTGACATTTCTAAGCCACATAATAAGGAAAGAAGGTCTGAAGAATTTGACACTCACAGAGCATACTGAAGGCAATGGGGACAGAGGAAAGAAACGAGTAACCTACCTAAGGAGGATAATGGTTGTCAGAACTGGGAGTAAAAGGGATCGAAGAAAAAATTATTAATAGTCCCAAATTAATACATTTAAAGATTAAGACACAGGACTATATTGCTGATTTTGTTCTCGGCTTCTTTATAGAAAAGTAAAACAAAAAAACCATTCAAAGAAGCAGAAGATCTTAAAATTATTGGATAACAATCAAAATATACTGTTCACAGATAAACATTTATTTTAATAAATCAAAAATTACATGCATATTGTTCCATATGCTAAATAGTAACAAAACATAATGATAAACAAAGGGATTTACTTACATTAATAATTTTGTCAGTCTCTAAATGTATCTTTCTTTAAACTGATAACTTAAACTTCTTTTCTTTTTTCAACCTTTTCTTTTTTTTTTTACAATGAAAAACTTGTATTAAAACCTTTTTACAGTCAAATTCTTCAGATAATTTTCTCTTCTTTTCTTCACATACATTTCTTTGTCTTCTTCAGAAATTCTTTCTCTCTTTCTTAGGAGCTGAAAGCGAAAATTAGAAAACATAACGCCTAACCTAGGCTAAGATCAAATTTTAAAACAAATAATATATTATCTACAGTGTAACCCGGATATAAGAGAGTTGTCGGGACCGGAGACGAAGTCTCTTATATCCGGGTTTCTCTTATATCCGGGTTTGGTCTATTTTATATACATTAACACAGGCTCTAATTTGGGACCAGAGAAAATCTCTCTTATATCCGGGTTTCTCTTATATCCGGGTCTCTTATATCCGGGTTACACTGTAAAATATTTTAAAATCTCATTTTAAATAGAGAACGAGAATGGGGCAGCCTTCCCCGCATCGAACGACTCTGCCAAATAAAACGTTGACTCTAAGAGTCTAATCAAAGGCAATAAATCCTGCTCTTGGGAATAAAAACACCTCTTCCAAATAAATGTCTCTTAGACAAAGTTGAAGCAAATCTCCAAAAGCCGCAAAGTACCTTTGTTATCTTTAACAAAGGTCTTTGCGTCAATACCTCAATAGGCCTTATAAGTCAAATCAAAATAAAATATAACTTTTTTCAAGCTATATTTAAACAAATTTATAACTTTACTCAAGTTTTATTTAAACAAATTTATAACCTTTCTCAAGATATATTTAAACAAATTTTAGCTTCGGAATTCTACTGGAGGTAATAAAAATCTTTTGTACGGAGTCGCCCGAAATTAAATACTATCCCTTCTTCACATCCCTAAATAAAATCAGATATAGCAATTAAAGTTAAAATATTAACTATATTAATAAATAAAATAATTCAACACTGTAAGTCAAATATTCGAAGTAACACGTTTCTTTACGTGGAAAACTAAATTAGTTGTCCACGGAGCCAGAATAAAGCATCTTCATCGACCAAATAAAAATTTCTGACTGAAGAAAATATCTCCTGATCAAAGAATGATGCCGTCTCCCGCTTCCAACTCAAAAAAAAAAAAAAGAAAAAAAAAGGCAATCTCTCCCGATCAAAGGGATCAAAGGGTCTTCCGTCTCAAACCCCATAAAAAGGCGTCAGTAAAAAAAAACATTGTATACTTTGCTATCAGAGGCGTATCGTTCCAAATTTCAATACATTAAATATTTCATCACTGTAGTTATTGAAATGTCTTCGAATTTTAATATTCTAAAATTTGCAAATAAAAAAAAATTCTCAAAGAATAGCAAAAAGACAAACCTTACTAAGGGATAAAAAAGTTACAAGAAATTGTGGAGAATCATGATCGCCCACGTCCTGAAAGGACACAGCACATAGAAGAAGACGCCCACTTGAACGGAATGTAACACAAGACAGATTTTCATTTTAAATCTTAATGACGTTCTGGCTGGTTGAGTCAAGTAAATGACACTTAATAGTATATATGACCGAATAATTGAAGAAATATAGTGAGACTAACGATTGTGCCTCGCAATTTGAACATTAACATCCGAAATCCTAGTATAGGACTTAAATCCTATATATATATTTTATCCAATAAAATCCCATCAGAAGTTTTGTTGGATAAACAATCATTACCAGGATGCTAAAATACTTGCGGGCGTAATTGTAAACCTACCATGTGTTAATTTTGGACCGTTTAGAAAATAACAATAATAACTCCCTTCACCACTCAGGCAAGTTCAAGAAAAAGATTTTCGCGAGCCAATGTGAAATCATTTTCTAACTAATGACAACCTTGTATTCAAAAAGTTCCCACCTCTATGTGAAATTAGATTTTGTCTCTCCCTTACTGATATAAAAATAGAAGAATACTGATTCTCGGGGCTCAAAAATAAATATTTTTGAGCCCCGAGAATCAGTATTCTTCTATTTAGGAAGGTCAGAGGTCAGTTTGATTTACACGTGCGTACACACACACGCACACACACACTCATATACCCACAATGAAGAAATGACAACCAGCAGCCGCCGACTAAGGCTTTGTCTGCAAACTCACAAACACATTAGGCTGACCGTCATAAAATCTGTCCACATATTTCACACTGAGAAAACATGTAATTATTGGATCCCGACACTTAGATAACAACAAAAACTTGGGTAGACAGATCCCAACTCTGGTTTTACCTAGCTTCAAACACCGACTTTTGGCCCCGATGAGAAATATACACAACTATCTCGTCTTCTAGAGATGTTTATTGGTATTTAGCTAAGTACAGTGTAAGGCCACAAGGGTGAGGAACATAATGACGATCGAACTGACGACAGTAGTAATTGTCTGCGAGAATTGCTTGCTAACCAGTGCCAGGTACCAAAGTAAAAAGTTTGGTCTTAATTTTCTTTTTGGAATATATTGGATTCTAAGGGTCATATAATACACATATATGAGAGATATTCAGTTACACATGTCAAACATATAATAAAATTTTTCTGTAAATATAAATATTTTTACAGGTTCAAATTCTGCGGTGCAACAGCTGCCTTTGATCGAATTACATGTCATAGTTCATTCCTCATGTGGGTTATCCCCATATAGCTTTACCAGTTTTTCCACGAAGTCATTAGGTGGCGCTGCCAAACACCTATAAAAATGGAATATTTCCAGTCGTCATATTCTTATCTCTCATTTCCACCCTTCATGCTGTAGCAACAACATCCACAGGACCTTGTTCCCGAGCAATAACTAAACTTACACACACACACACGCGTGTGTCACCGACATAATTCCTAACATATATTTTTGCATATATACTAGTGTATTTTTTCTCTTTTCACTCAGTTGTATATAAAACACCAAAAATATATCGACTTGTTGAAATTGTCTTCCATTTCCTTACAGACACCCATCATTTATATGTGCAAACTTGTGTTGCCGCTGCTTTTAACCCAACTAGGAGCAGTGTCTACAACAATCCCCAATAAGACAGTCTAATACTTTGTCAATAACTATTTAGTATTATTGACAGATGTTGGAATAATTCATTGCCGGTGGGACCCAATTAGAAATACCTTCAAGTCAGGTAAGCAGAAGCTAGTCTGTTCAGATGTTTCCGGATGAGGGTGTTCCCAAGTATTTCAAATTTCCACTTAGACCCAATATCGGGAAACATGTTTGACGCACGGTTCAGACGTTGGAAGGATACTTTCTAACACGAATTCCCAAGCAAAGATGAAGCTTGGAAATCCTGTCCATTGATGAAGAAGCTCGGTGTCGTGATAATCCCTCAAGAGTTATGCCCCTTGCATTAAGGTTCAGCGTGAACAGAATAAAGAGATGGTGGAACAAGCCCTAGGGCCTCCGCCTAGCGTATTTAAAAGTGTCTCCTGTCTTCATTACTATTACACTCGGTACGAACGTTTTACCAATTTTATATTCACCAAACATGCTAAAAAGTTTTTACTTTCGCGGATATCACTAAACAGGTTAGCTGTTAGTTAGCAGACATATTCGGTGTGTCACTTTTAGTTTTCTTGTTTAATGTTGTTAATTGTCTGGAATTGAATAAGCGGTCACGTTCACAGGTATTGTTAACCGAAACTGAAATCGCTCACGGAGGACCAGAAGTGTCTAATGTTTATTGCTGGGTTACAATCCCCAAACGATGCTGACATTCGGACACAGCTGTTGTTTACACTCGAACAAGACAAGGACGTAGTGGTGAAAGCGCTGACGATTGAATGTCAATTGTCAACACTTGATCAACCTCAAGCAGGACATGCGTATGGTGCAACAGTCTGCTAACCTGTCTGTTACCGTCAATGTTTGAGCGGGAAGAAAATCTCCGACTCCAAATAAAAAAACAAAACAAAAAAAAAAAAACACTTGTTGCGGAGGCGTATCAGAAAGTATTATTTGTGTTGGCTGCGTGAATAAACTTCTCCACATACATTTTAACTTTGGGTGTGGCGTAAGGTCATCAATGACAAAAAAAGACAAAACAAACAATATTCCTTTTTAGAAAAGCAAGAATAAAACATTTAACAAATATACACAGCATGAGAATGAGAAAGTTCTTTAGGTTAAATAGAGAGTTTGTTCAATGTTCCTGTCAGTAAAAGAAGGGTTTGCAAAAATTAATCAGTTCAGATGAATTAATATTTTACATCGTAAGTTTCTGTTATAGTTTTATTGGAGATTAAGGTAAGAGTTGTCTCCCTTTACCTGTTGAATATTGTGTTGTTAAATTAACAAAAATATTAGAAGTTTAAATATTACATGAATTAAGTTGATTCAACAAATGAGTAAAGTCCTTTGAAGAAAGTAAGTTGTGTTCTTCCAGGAAAGTTTGTTGTAATCGAAATTGGTGAATGAAAAGTTGGTTGATATCAAAAGTTGAATTTTGTGTTTAAAAAATAAACTTTTAGGCTTTCAGACTTTTGAGTAAATTGGGCATTAAACATTAAGATTCTATTAATAGTAAGATAGTTGACTCGAAGTAAGTTTGCGTTAAAGTTATGTTTAAAGTTGCTTTTGAATAAAATGTTTGTTTGGCAAACTGTAGTGTATATTCTTTGAGTAGAATTTTTCTTGATGTTAGATTTGAAGTGTAGTTTGTTGGTGAGTGAGTGAATTCGAAGTTTGGGATTATGTTAGGAAATCTAACTTAGAAACTTCAAAGATTTGAACGGCGTGAATTTGTTTGGCGAATTGTTTTATGTCGCAAAGCTCACTGAAGATTAGTATCGCGTTCTCGTATTTATTTACTTTCAAGTCACGTGGTAGGCCCCAAGAGATGTTTCGATTTTTTTGGCAGTAAATTAATTTTAACCATGCGGACGTAAATGAAAGCATATCAGTATTAATTGACCAAACAGGAGTCACAGTAATATCAAGGCTCTGTGATCCACTTTTTTTAATAGATTTTGTCGATTGCAGTACTGTTACATAAGAAATATATTGGAATCTTTTTTAACCAATGGAATTAGTTAGATCATAAATAAAATATTATTAAATTGAAGTAGGACACTAAACAGTAAACACCCACTCTTTGTTGGTCTTGAGGCGAATAGCATTTCGCACGTTACTGTCCATTCAAAAAATATATATGCCAATTATGCTCGTAGCTTGGACACAGGAACGGTTTTTGCGGCCCCCAGAGAGACAAAACTGTAACAAGAAAAAAAGAATACCTCAAATTCAAGAGACAACCATAAACGAAAAAAACATGTAGAGCTTAACCTCTACATGCCAGTAGATCAGAACCAATGACTGAGTTCACTACGTCCTCATTGGACAATAAATATTAAAACATTACTAATTTACATTTTCATGTGTTAGTTGTAGATTTTTGTACAAGCTAAACACAATCCAGGCTCCAGACGCAAGTTTCACAATAATTGTTTCTGATTGGTCAATATATCTCAAGTCGGAACAACGCCTACGCACACGTGTTTAAACACCAAAAAAACCGCCTAAATCTTGAAACGTGTTCGTGATCCAACCACGTGACTAGGAATCCAAATATAAGGAATGCACGAACGCAAATTTACCATGTGGCGGAGAACCAATCGCTAGACTACTCCGCGTCACTTATACTTTTGAAGTTGCAAAGTTAAAATTTCTTAACACGAAACAACTCCAATCCACTCACTCATCAATCACCGGATTCAATCACCATAAACTGTGGAAGTTCTCAACCATAGAACTTATATTCATCCAGTAAACATTTCAGTTGATTCCCTAACAAAAAATTATTACGGTCAAAGAGGGACAACTTCTTAAGCAAACTAAAAACTCGCATAAAAATATTACTACACAAACTGTTTAATATTTCGTAAGTTTGCAAACCTCAATCATACTTTGTATGCCTTGCTTTGTTCTTTTGTATGACTTACTGTATATAAAATTCTCATTGTTTGTTATTCAAAAAAAAGGAGATTTATTGTTATTTCTCATGTTGATCTGATTCTATGTGTGAATATTGAAATTTTGATGTTAGTGGAAATTGTTAATTTATCACGCAGCCTATATCTCAAATTATTTACCCATATGATTAACACATCCACTACAAACATTTTACAGTCGGAGGTGTAACGCGGATTCAGTTTTTGCAACGTTTAAGGTAGATTTGGAATCTGGCAGGAAATGCATAACTGTTTGCATTCACTGTCTTGTAAGATTCCAGTTGAATACTGCGTCTGATATCACATTCATATCGCATTCGACATGGGAATCATTGGGAAAATCCATCATGTTGTCGTAGTGCATCCTGTAACATGTTGAGTTGAATTGTGATGGCTCCTTCAAGATTGTGTTATATTATTGTAGACTCGTCTTTATCCTACCTATCAGCCCTAGCAACAGAACAGTCTATATCTTACGCCTATGTATGGAAAACTTCAACCAATAAAAACCGTACTAGGCGAATCAACCAATCTCATTGGTTAATGACACAATAATCTGAAAGTTCACGTGCAAAGAACGAGATTGCGCCAAAACTCCGTGAGCCAATTTCGGACTTTCAGGACTTATAAAAGTAAACGCCGACTGCCCCAAGCAGTCAGTAACGAACACCCACAGAAAAATTGCCAACATACTCCACGTCACTCGAAATCACGATTTTACCGCGCAAAGGTACATCAACGCTGACTCACTGACAATTAAAACTCAACCAACTCTGTGGACATCGATTCTCAAACATTGCTTATCTAAAGTGAATTATATTCACTACCTATTAAGTAACATCAATGTGCGAAAGACCTTAAAAACATTACAGTCAAAGGTAGATCACTCCTTAAGAACTCCTTCTAAAAAGACACTTAATATTAACAATTCTAATACCAACACAAATCTAAAACGGACTGCAAATGAACGAACGATTACAAAGAGAGACATTCTGAAACCTAAAACATCATACACATTTTGCCAACATATCATATACCAATTATCCTGCTTGTATATTGTTTTGAATTGTATATAAATGTTACATTAGTTTCTAATTGAATATGTCTTGTTCTTAATCGTATTTTAAATTTCGTTTATTTATTTGTTGTGGATGCAGAAAGTCACGCAACCTACACAAATTCCTTCTGATTCTTTCAAGCATAATTAATAAATTCTGCACGTCCCCAACAAAATTGATGACCCCGACGTTCATATAAAAAAAAAACCATCGCCAACAAAATTGGTGACCACGGCGTGCGACAAGTAAAAAAAAAACTCGTCATCAACAAAATTGATGACCCCGACGTTCGATGTTCGACGTTACCAACAAAATTGGCGATGGGACGTGTGAATCGTTAAAGAAATCAAAATTGGAATCCCGGCGTACGAAAACAAAATTAGTGACGACCCCAACGCGCGGGAAGAAATTAAATCGACACGTGTTGTCTTCGAACGAACAGACCGAAGATCCAGAAAGAACCCACGACCTTTATAAATGGCTGATCAAATTTCCTCAACGGAGACCGTGGATGGCCTTGTGCCAGATGTCAACCAACAGATTCAAAAATTGTCCTCAGAATTAAAAAGAATATCTCTACAACTGCATGAATTACAAAAACCACACGAAAGTCGACGTGATAATTTTACGCGACACAGAAACCGTGGTTCGAGATCAACATCTCGCCATAAATACCAACAACGCCGAGATCATTACCAACATGCCAATTGCTGGTACCACGAAAATTTTGGCGCGCACGCGAAGAAATGCCGACCACCATGTTCGTATGGAAAACAAACAAGCGGGAAACGGACTCGCTGGCATCCAGTAGAGACGTTGGATGCCAGATATTTAAAAACTAATCGTCTCTTTTTTATCCACGACAGAGCGAGCGGTTTAAAATTTTTAATTGACACCGGTGCCCAAATAAGTGTCCTGCTTTTCAAAAATTGCAGCAAACAGACTCTGTTCAAGCATACATCTTTCAAATTACAGGCCTCTAATGGCACTCCGATCACCACTTACGGCGAGCGAACCCTAACGCTAGACATCGGCCTGAGACGAGAATTTACGTGGACTTTTACTATCGCGGATGTTGCAATGCCGATTATAGGAGCGGATTTCCTAAACCATTACAAATTATCGGTTGAGTTAGCGTCACAAACTTTAACTGACACTAGCACTAATCTACAACGTTGTGGTTTCATTTCCAAGTATTCGACAATCGGTCTGGCGACTGTTATACCTACAGCCAATGGCTACGATGAGATAATAATACGTCAGTACCAATCGCTACTGTCACCGTCAACACATAATGAACCTGTGAAACACCACGCCACTCATAGTATTAAGACCACAGGACCTCTAGTTCATTCTCAACCTCGCAGACTCCATCCGAGTAAACTAAAAATAGCTCGCGACGAATTTGACAACATGCTCAAACTTGGTGTAATCCGTCCTTCAGTCAGTTCTTATGCCAGCCCTCTACATATGGTTGTTAAAGCTGACTCAGCTAGTTGGCGTCCGTGCGGCGACTACAGGTTACTAAACGCGCAGACCGTTCCGGACAAATACCCAATCCCGCATTTTGCCCTTTCGCTGGAAGGTGCTAAAGTATTCACCAAACTCGATCTTAAAAAGGCATATTAATCAAATCCCCATTGAGGAAGCCGACATTCCGAAAACTGCTATTACAAAGCCTTTCGGACTCTTCGAATTTACGAGAATGCCCTTCGGATTGCGTAACGCGGCGCAGTCTTTCCAGATACGAAGTTCTACGCGGAATGCCTTACACATATGCTTATATAGATGACGTACTCATAGCAAGCAAGTCTCATGAAGAACACCGTGAACATCTACATGCAGTTCTCAAAAGATTACAACACCACGGTTTAAAAAAACTAAATATTGATAAATACGTTTTCGCAGTACCGAGTTTAACTTTCCTCGGGCACATTTTAGTCCAGCATGGATTGACTCCCTTGGATCAGAAAATTACTGCGGTCGCTAATTATCCTCCACCTTCCACATTGAAGCAATTGAGGAGATTTTTGGGGATGATTAACTATTATCGACAGTTCATCCCAAATTGTGCGTCAATTTTATTACCACTGACGAATATCTTGTCTCTGCATAAAAGAAAAAATTCGCTGATATCACTATCACAAGATGAGCTACGATCATTTCAAAATGCAAAAGATGCACTACAGAACTGTGCCAAACTAACTTACATTAATTCATCCCCAATATTATCAATTCAATCAATCTAAACATCCTTTTTCTAACTCGACCCTGTTTAGGTATTCCGTCCTCGTCAAGTGTTACACTTCGGTGCGATCCCATCTCCGCGGTCGATCCGCTTTACATTCGTTTCTCTGATAAGACCGAAATCAACTTCCCCTAAACAAAACCAGTCATACCGAACCCGACACCGATACAAACATATTTCTCCAGAGTACACTCTTCTTGTACATTTTGGATAAATAAAATCGACGTTATTGTTTCTTAAACCTTTGCTTTTGCCACCCTCTTTGTCTTAGCTGTTATTCACACCTTTCTTCGTAAAGCTTGCGAGGGCAACAAAACTATTGTTTATTTCATTTCAAATTACATCTGAAACAGAAACTGAAAAGTAATACATACTGCAAACCAAGTTTAGTAAAGTCTTTCAGGAAGGCATTGGATGAAAGCTACCCTTAAACTGAAAACAGACGCCAAAACAATCTTTAGACCAAAGCGTCCTGTGCCACACGCGGTACTGGCCACAGTGGAAAAGGAACTTACAGCGATCATCATCATCGCTCACACACATATACCCTTACAAATTCAAATCTTTAACAGCATTCATTCATTGGCCAGAAAGCAACGCTATATTCTGAAACGACAATTTTAAAATCGCTATATTGATATATATATATATATATTGATATTGTAGCGGACCCCCCCCCCCGTGCGTCACCGTATCACAAAGGGGTGATGAGGTCACAAGAGGCCCGCTAACATTTTCGAAGACGTTAAACCTGACAAGGTGAAACAATATAGACGACAGAACGAGGATATAAAGGATATGTGCTAATTTATTCTAGAAAAGAAATGAAGAAGGTCGGGACGCTAGAGATGGAGATGTTCCGGTGCAGGCATTGATGGTCGAGGTTGGTTGTTACAGGTGATCGTTACAGGTGATCGCTGCTAGTCATGCAGGTGATCGCTGCTGAGATGATCGCTGCTGGTCGTACAGGCGGTCGCTGCCGGGATCATCGCTGTTGGTTGTTGCAGTGGAAGTTGATGTTGGTTGTTGGCAGGACCATCGCTGTTGATTGTTGAAGTTGATCGTTGCCGGGATGCCAACTTGACGTGTTGGGAAGGAAAGAGGAGCTGGCGTTGTTCGGGCATGTCAAAGGTCCAGTGCAGGCGTTGCGTGTTTGCCCGTCGAGTCCGATACTAGTAACCTCCCGTAATAATTACTAACATAGTGTACGGGAAAGGTTATGGACGACGTGCAGGCAGCCAGTAGGGACGGAATGCCGAGCGTCGAACAGGGCCAAGGAGCCAGAAGTAGTAGGCGAAGGAGAGAGAGAAAGAAAGTTTCTAACTATCGTCAAGTTGGCAGACAAAAAGAAATGAGAGCGTAACTTAATACGCAGCCCGGTGGTCGACGTTCCTGGCCTCCGGCCAGGAGCCTGCGTATCCGACCGTTTCAGTCGCCGAGGTATTTACCCGACTCCCACAGGGTCAGGATGTGACACAAGGTCGGTTTAACGTGGGAGACCCGAGTGTTTCCACTCAAAGGGCCAAAAGGTCCAAAACTGGTTTTAGCATGTCCAAGCTGGTCAGAGCCTAGTCAACGCTGGTCATGGATTGTCTTAGCTACTCCAGGCCGAAGCCAGTCCAAACTAGTCGTAGCCGTGATCGAATCTCAGCCAAAGGCCGAGAAATGATCCTTATTTGTCAAAACTGGGCGAAATCCGCCAAAGCGGAAGTCGACGACCATGAATTTAGTGAGAAGTCACTGTCTTGTGGTAAGGGAGACTTGCAAGTGATTTGGGAAGCTAATACAGGAAAGTCTCTATAAAAAAATAAGTCGAGGTTAGCTAAAGGGAACTAAGGCCTAAAAATGTCTAGAAGTATATTACAACTAGGTTTGTAATATAACTTAACTAAAAAGGGAACTTGCTAGTCTCTACCACAAGTTTACAGCGTATAGGGAGCACAACCGAGAGGTCAAGGTCGAAATGACCTGTTCTCTTAGTTTAAGGAGCGAAGGAGGAGGTAACTCCGACAATATCTTTGCCTTGTCCCTTGTTCTTATATCAGTTTGTGTTCCTAAACAAAAATTAAATAAATGTAGTGAGAGGCCTAGACATGCTATATCTCATTGATAACTCCGACGTTCGTTTGGAATTCCGCCACAAACTAGATTGCCTATGTCCAGCATCGTTTCGATGCAAAACGTGAGAGTTAGATCGATTGTCCAAACGCAAGTCTCTCTTGTGTTCGTAGGTACGGATTTTAGATCATGTGATGTCTCCCCCACATAAACATTTTGGTTATAAAAGAACATAATACTTTAAGGAGAAAATACATTGAAAACATAATAAAATTATTATCAACTATAAACACACGCCTAAAAAATTACATTGCCGTCTTTTTTTTTAATCCATTCTTAAAAAAAAGTCTGGTTTATGTCTATTTAATACAAAGAATAGATTTCTAAAGAAGCGAGCCATAAAATCAAAGCGTGCGAATTCTCGTTGGTCGCATAAAGAGTAAGATAAAAATCCCTGCTCGACTGACAAAAACACACAATTACAAATACACATTACCATTCGTTGTCCACTTAAATATACAAGAATCTTCACAAACCTTCATACACATAGAATTATCCACGGTTTAATACACGTGACACGAGCCTGACCAATGAGAACTGACCCAAATATAATCGAAAATATCAGTTCCCTGTCTTATCTGTTTTCTCTCAATCCCTCACGAAGCTTTAATAAAATGAAACATGCTATATTGATACACGTTTCCTATTTGTTCTTTTATTTTACCAACCCATTGTATATATGACGAGTCCAGCGGAGGAGAGGCGTATTCAACAAAAATCGAAAATTACTTTTTTTTTCTCTGCAAATTATTCATTATATCATATTCCAAGTATTAGATTAGAATCGATTACACAAATATTTCAAGCTCAGTTTAGGTTTATAGTTCGTAACAATGCAATGAAACGAGGTAACATAAAACCCTAGATTTGTCTGTGGAATATCATTGTATTATTGTTACATAATTATAGTAAAATTATAGTGAAATCACTCCTCCGCCGAACGCGTCATATATTCTATACATTTTATCTAATAATTAAAACATTTCCATGAAAAATACATATTTTGTAACGCGCAACGTAGGCAAAGTTTTGTCTCATTTCTTGAATTTATTGACAAAGCAAAAGAATACTTATACTGGAATTTAAAATAATCAGAAAAATAATATTAATCAAGCACAGAAAGAAAAAAAAAACAAGAACGCCAAATGGCGAAAGGAAGGACTAAACACTGTCCCCGTTAGGGTCAAGTGACTTTGACTATATAAGGGCAAATATTAACGACCCACAATGTTTTCTTCCAGGTAGCCGGAAGCAAGGCTGCTCCTTCACCACAAGCCCCGTCAGTGGTATGAAGTTTGGAAGAAATAGGACCAACAACCACAACAACAATTACTAGTGCCTAAAGAAGCGGGTCGAGGACTGAAAAGGACTTCTCCTCCAAGACTGTTAACAAGATAACCAGACGCTTTTCACATACGCTATGTCCGCAGACGCACATTGTCTACACAACTACTTCTTTTTTCCTTATTTCTACTTTTTCTAATTGTATATTAAATATATTTAAATAGTACAGGTTGTAGTATTTCTTTCTCTCCAAAAGCTATTGACCTGTTCATTTGTACATACGAAGACTTAAAGGATTACAAAACAAGGATTCTGCCATTGACTCAGATGCACATGTCAAAGGGTAAAAAATGCGTAAAGTCTGGCTAGAGGCGCGAAAATTATGTCGCCTGGCCAGTTGGGGCCAAATTCATTGATGCAATGCACGAATAAGTCAGCTACCAAGTGAAACCGTAAGCAACTTCTCGTGACCATATCTGCTAATGTGTATCTTTTTTGCTGCCTGATCAAACTACTGTCGTATTCACGTTTTGTAAATATATAGATAAAGTGTTTTCTCTCAAACAATTATACATGTCCTTGTTTTCACTGACGAACAAAGTTTAATCATATCGCGAGTATGTTAATGTTTATATTGATATGGATGTGTAAATTTATCTCTTACAGCCATTCCTATAAAATAAATCTATTTTACCTGCCAGAAAAGCTTGTCTTAATTCCTGACTACCAACAACCATTTTACTTTGTTTACAATACACAATATACAATGTGTCGAATCAAAATTTTGGTGAAAGATTGCAGAATTCTATATTTCTACGTTATTTTTTCACTATCACTAAAAATATGATTTTATTGCAGAAAATGATTACAATTTAGTGATTGTTTAGTCGTAAAGTCTGTAGTTAGTGACGAGAAAAGCCGAAATTATATTGCTTCCATAAATTTAGGGTTGTATCTATTAACTCTTATCACGGGCAAA